GAACCACAAGAGATTCGACAGTTCTTCAACGTTGCTTCTGTCTCTCTTCTTTCTCTCTGTTTCCCTTTGGTTTCTTCTTTCTTTGTTGTTCTATCTTCTTATTGAGTTTTGTGTCTATTTATCTTTTCAATTTTTCTTTTTCTCCAGGCTATTTTTTTCTTTGTATCTTTCTTTATTTCTTTCTTTCTCTCTCTCTCTTTAATTTCCTTTATCTGTCTTTTATTTACTTCCTTTTTTTAATGTCTTTTTTATTCTTCTTTTCTATTTGTCTATCTTTCATTCTCTCTTTCTCTCTATCTATTTTTTATTCCCTCTTTCTTTCTGCCTATTTTTTTATTCTTTCTTTCTCTCTATCTTTCATTCTATTATTCTTCTCTTTATCAAATTTATCATTCGTTTAAACCTAGTGATTAATTATTCTCTCTATGTATCTTTCTCTCTATCTTCCATTCTCCATTTCTACCCTGATTCTTCTCTCTGTCTAATTACCTCTCATCCCTTCTGTCTTTGAGTCTCCTTTCTATCTATCTATCTCTCATTCCCTCTTTCTTCCTAAACCTCCATTCTTCTATCTACCTATTCACCTCCCATTTATTCTTTCTTTCTAAACGCCGATTCTAATTATCCCCCATCCTCTCTATCTGTCTATCTCTTATTCCCTCTTTCTTTCTAAACCTCCAACCCCATTCTCCTCTCTATCTATTTACCCTCCATTCTTTCCCCTTTTCCCCTTCCCCTTCCTCTCTATCTCTCTTTATCTTATTCCCTCTTTCTTTCTAAACCTCCAGCCTCATTCTTCTCTCTATCTATTTACCTTCCATTCTTTCCCCTTTTCCCCTTCCCCTTCCTCTTTATCTCTCTTTATCTTATTCCCTCTTTCTTTCTAAACCTCCAACTCCATTTTTCTCTCTCTCTATTTACCCTCCATTCTTTCCCCTTTTCCCCTTCCCCTTCCTCTCTATCTATCTCTTATTCCCTCTTTCTTTCTAAACCTTTCTATCTCTCCTCTCTATCTATCTATCTATCTATCTCTCCTCTCTATCTATCTATCTATCTATCTCCAACCCCATTTTTCTCTCTCTCTCTATTTACCCTCCATTCTTCCCCCTTTTCTCCTTCCCCATCATCTCTATCTATCTATCTATCCTCTCTATCTCTTCTCTCCACCTATCTATCTATCTATCTCCAACCGCATTCTTCTCTCTCTCTCTATTTACCCTCCATTCTTTCCCCTTCTTTTTTAAACCTCCAAAGTGAATCAACTGGAAAGGGAAGTTTGTAAATCTGCCTATTGACGCGCTCGCCTCCACGTGTCTTCCTTGAGGCTTGGTTTCAGAAGCGGAACAGAGAGAGGAGAGAGAGAGAGGGGGGGAGAGGGAGAGAGAGAGAGAGGGAGGGAGGGGGGGAGAGAAGAGGGTGAGAGAGAGAGAGCGAGGGAGGGAGGGAGAGAGAGAGAGAGAGGGAGGAATTAAGGGTGAGAGAGAGAGAGAAGGAGAGAGAGAGAGAGAGAGAGAAGGAGAGAGAAAGAGAGAGAGAGAGAAGGAGAGAGGGAGAGAGAGAGAGAGAGTGAAAGAGAGAGTGAGAGACAGAGAAAGAGAGAGAAGCAGAGAGAAAGAGAGAGTGAGAGAGAGAGAGAGTGAGAGAGGCAGAGAGAAAGAGAGAGTGAGAGAGAAAGAGAGAGTGAGAAAGGCAGAGAGAAAGAGAGAGTGAGAGAGAGAGGACGTAGGTGTCGAGACCTACCGGTCGTGACTAATTATGTACCGGTAATGTTCGTTCATATCGAATTAAGGAGAAAATGTCGACTCGTATAAGCTCTCTCTGTCTCCCGGACCGCTCTCTATTTGTCTGTCTATCTGTCTATAGGTTGTTCTGCCTTACTCATTATCTATCTTTCTCTGTATCTATCTGTCTCTATCAGTTTGTCAGTCTGTCTGCCTAACTGTCTGTCTGTCTGTCTGACTACTTACCTATGTATGTCTGTTTCTATCCGTTTAGCTACTTATCACACTGTCTATCTCTATCACTGCCCTAGCCCACCTCTCTCTCTCTTTCTCTGTCTCTCTCTCCCTCTCTCTCTCTCTCTCTCTCTCTCTCTCTCTCTCTCTCTCTCTCTCTCTCTCTCTCTCTCTCTCTCTCTGTCTCTCTCTCTCTCTGTCTCTCTCTCTTTCTCTGTATCTATCTATCTATCTATCTTTCTCTCTCTCCCTCCCCTCCAACTCCCCTCACATCTTCCTTCCCCCTCCCTCTCCCACTCCCCCCTTCTTCTTCCCTCTCCCTCTCCCTCCCCCCTCCCTCTCCCTCCCATCCCTCCTTCTCCCTCCCTCCTATCCCTCCTCCCTTCCCTTCCTTTCCTCCTTCCTTCTCGCTTGCTTGCTTCCCCAGAAAATCCCCAAAAGCAATTAAGTTCGACTGTAAAAAATCGCAGACTTTTACGTAAAGATGACACTGACGACTCCAGCGCAGTGTGGAGGCAAGACCAACGACCCAAGAGGGACGAGGTGAAGCAACACATACGTAGGGGTGTGGTCTCCCTATTTTGCTGTTGGGCCGTTCCAGTGTTGGTGGGAAGGAGGAGGAGGAAGAGGAGGAAGAGGAGGAGGAGGTGGAGAACGAGGAGGAGGAAGAGGAGGAGGAGGTGGAGAACGAGGAGGAGGAAGAGGAGGAGGAGGTGGGAAGGAAGAGGAGGAAGAGGAGGAGGAAGAGGAGGAAGAGGAGGAGGAGGTGGAGAACGAGGAGGAGGAAGAGGAGGAGGAGGTGGAGAACGAGGAGGAGGAAGAGGAGGAGGAGGTGGGAAGGAAGAGGAGGAAGAGGAGGAGGAAGAGGAGGAAGAGGAGGAGGAGGTGGAGAACGAGGAGGAGGAGGAGGAGGAGGAGGAAGAGGGGGAGGAGGTGGAGAACGAGGAGGAGGAGGAGGAGGAGGAGGAAGAGGAGGAAGAGGAGGAGGAGGTGGAGAACGAGGAGGAGGAGGAGGAAGAGGGGGAGGAGGTGGAGGACGAGGAGGAGGAGGAGGAGGAGGAGGTGGAGAACGAGGAGGAGGAGGAGGAGGAGGAAGAGGAGAACTAGTAGGAAGAGGTGGGAAGGAGGAGGAAGAGGAGGAGGAGGAAGAGGAAGAGGAGAACTAGTAAGAAAAGGTAGGAAGGAGGAGAGTGAGAAGGAGGAGGAGGAGGAGGAGGAGGAGGTGGAGAACGAGGAAAAAGAGGTG